TAGCCACCCCTCCTTGGGTTTCCGAGGCAGTATCACTATGGAAGTAGGATTGCCCAACCTTCCTTCCGAGGAGTGGCTGGTGGGTTTGAACTGCCAGCCATCTGGTTAGCAGGCAAGTGTCTTAGCCACTATGCTACCAGTTATGTTGACTAGGCTCTGGTAAAATAGTTTCCCATGAGGACAGGTTGGTAAGTAGGACAGAGGAATACTCCAGATGTATTTCAAAATGGTTTCTTTTTGCTCCCCTGCTGAATGCACACTGATTTTCTCCCATCTTCACAGTGAAAACATGGTGGTGTTCCTGTCAAAATGTGGGCCCCATCTTTAAGGCTGGTGTTATTATCTCTTAAGCTAGTCCAAGCTCGTTGTTGTTGTTGTTATGTGCTGTCGAGTTGGACCCGACTCATAGCAACCCCTCCTTGGCTTTTCAAGGCTGTATCACTACAGAAGTAGATTGCTCAACCTTCCTTTGGAGGAGTGGCTGGTGGGTTTGAACCTCCAGCTTCCTGGTTAGCAGCCAAGTGCCTTTGGCACTACGCTACCAGAGCTCCTAGTCCAAGTTCAGTCTCCAGCAATCCATCAGTTACCCTTTAAGTATTCCTATTGGCTCCCATGGCAGTTTTTCCTCCTGGTAAACTGATATTTTCTGTATTTTTATCTCTAGTTTTCTAGGGTAATACTCTGCCCTGTTACTTCCATTCTCTGAAGGATCTAAGAAAAGTTGCTGATTTTCAGGTTTTCAGCTTTTTTTCTTGTTGTGAGGACAGGAGTGACCACTTTCAAGTTCTTTACATGCCAGGGTGGAAATTGGAAGTCTTCTGTGTTCTTTAGCTTTTGTTATCATACCATATGTGCAAAATAATATGCTGCTTTATTTTTTTAATCTAGCATGTTATCATATGTCCCCTAAACCTTCTTAGTAGAATCATTTGATAGCTATATGCTATTCTATCTTTTTTACTAACCTATCTAATGTCTTCGGAAGGAAGATGGGGCAATCTACTTCCATAGTGATACTGCCTCGGAAACCCAAGGAGGGATCACTATAAGTCGGATCCGACTCAACGGCACAGAACAACAACAACAACAACATCCAATGTCTTATTGCTAGGAATTGAAATTATTGACAGTTTTTTATTATTCTAAAACATACTGTGATAAATAGCTTTCTTTGCATCAAAAATTACACAGTTGGACACATGGTTTCTGTTATATTTATGACTTAGTAACACAATTTTAGCAAATCGTGTATTTTTGACCTTAGATGATTTGATTCTGCCAATCTTGCTTTGGTAATATTCACATATTTTTTCTATTTCTCAACATTTAGAAAGAGAAAACATTTTGCCTGAATCCTTCACTATGATATATTTGAACTGGAGATAACACCAGTGTTTTCATACTATTTCAAATAGATACATGAAAGAGTGTATGGTTAATAGATTTTTTTTTTTTCTTAGCTTCTACTGCAGGGTTTATTTGCTAAGAAAAACAAAAAGCCACTTCTCCATTTGGTCCAGTAACTTTCATTTTCATTGGGAGAGAGGACAGCAGAGCACAGTTCAGGAATTCTGATTGTTAAGTGAAAACTGTGAAATGAAATATATTGTTCCTTTAATTCGCCTACATGGAAACCATGACTCTTAATAGTTACTTGATTAAATGTTAATGAGAGCTACTAAATTGACCCAACTCATGTGTTAGATTTATGTCAATTAAAACAAGGCCAATTCTACCTCTTTCTTGCTTTAACATCTTTGAATCAACATCTGCTTACAGAGGAAGTGTAACTACCTTAGTTATTTAAATATTAATGGCTTCCATTAAAGGGAGCTGGAGGTTTGCAACAGGAAGATTGAGAAACTAGATGGTGTGATTGCTTTCTTATTTCTGTCCCCAGGAAAAATCTCTTACTAGAAAAGCTTTGTCCATTATTTTCTTCACACCACATCTTTTCCCCCTGACCAGTCAGAGAGTAAGCTTGTTGATTGTAAGCTTTCCTTGAAAGTCGTTGTGCTATAAAAACTTGAGTGTTTTAACAGCACTGTAATGGCCATTGCCCTTGGGCTTCATGGAAATCTAATTTCAGTTTCTAAATTCATTTTGTTCCTTATTATAGTTAATAATGGGAGAAAGCATTTTTTAGCTACATTCTGTGGTTGGTCTTGTTTATGTTAAGTATGGGGAATTATATTCAGTCACCCATGAAAGATGACAAGGGTTATATATTCAATCAAATTGTAATTGTAAACTTTTATCTTATTGGAGAAATGTGGCTGAAAAGCTTTTTAAATTTTCTACAGCCAATATTTTCATATTATGCCAAATTGGGTTGTGATAAGCATGTGGTTAATAGATTTTTACCCATTTTGTATTTTTAAGATGTTTTAATGGCTTGATATTTAATGCACTGAACAATCAAAAGCAGGTTTCCTATTTGCATAATTGCATATTTCTTTTTTGTGCAGGAAGCTGAGTGATTGGAGTTTTTATTCATTTCATGTGTTTTATTTAGAATTTAGAGCTAAGAACTTGGAGAGGGTAAGGTAAGTGAGGTACTCACTTCAGGCATAAAATTTAAGGGCACATCAAAAACCTCCATAGTTAAAACAGATAATAAAAACAGTATGAATAAATGGTATTTTGATGCAATATTTTAACAAGTCAAAATCAATGCAAAAAAATCTATGATGAACAAAACTGTCAAAATTTTAGAGAAAGATGAGATGCGACCCTGCAGCATCATCTCACTTACCTCACCCTCGTCTTGGCCCTGAATGGGTTCAAGTCCTGATTGTTCCACTTTTATGATGTTTGATGAGGCATTCCTTTGAGTCAAGTTTTCCTAATCTAAATCTAGGGACAATAATTCTCCTTTTCCTGGTTATTAGGAGATTCCAACAAGCTAATCATGTACAGGTAAGCCCATTGCAATACCAAATTACATGGTTATTTATAATTTTAGGTAAATCACAGTGCAGTTTTAAATCGTTATTATTATCAGCCCAGATGAATACTCCAAGCAAATATCGGATTGGAAGATTCTTGGAAAGCTTTGTGCTAATAAAGTTTAGGGCCTACTTCTTGACTTTGATAGCTAGTGAAAGGGATGATGATCTAAAGATAGATGCAGAATCTTCCTTCCTTCTTTTCTGTTCCTGGGTTCAAAGTTTGAAAATTTGTAAGTGACAGAAAAGATGACTAGTAGAAATCCATTGTTAATTTTAATTTTGATGCAAAGTGCCCATGAACAATTGAGGTCTCACCTTTGCTTAAGCCTCTACACACCAGCGATGCCTTTCCCATCTCTCTCACCTATGCAAGTTCCACCACCACTACCAGTTGCCATGGAGTCAACTCTGACTCATAGCAACCCTGTGTGTGTCAGTGTAGAACTGTGTGCCCTAGGGTTTTCAGGGTTTAATTTTTCAAAAGATCTCTAGGACGTTCTTCCAAATCACTTCAGATAGATTTGAACCCCCAACCTTTTGGTCAGCAGTAAAGAGCATTAATCGTTTTTTACCGCCCCAGGGACTCCATGTGAGTTCCACTCAACCTTTCTCCATATCCTACTTTGGTAAGACCTTCCTTGGCTGCCTGAATGTGCTTTCCCTCATCTGTCCTCCTAAAGTGGAATAACTGTCTCTAGGAGCTCTGGTAGCATAGTGCCTAAGGCACATGACTGCTAACAAGAAGGCTGGCGGTTCAAATCCACCAGCCACTCCTCAGAAGGAAAGTTGAGCAATCTACTTCCATAGTGATACCGCCTCGGAAATCCAAGGAGAGATTGCTGTGAGTTGGGGCTGACTGGATGGCATATAGCAACTGTAACAATAGCTCATTTGGTGAACAAGTAGAATCCTCATTGTCTTAGGCTTTATGTCATCTTGCACTGAATTTACTTTCCAGACCATTTAAAATTATATGTAAGTGGTTTCTCCAGTTACATTGTTAAATCCCTTGAAGAGTTCCCAAGAAGATGGTTAGCTAAGGTGAGCAGGGATTAGTTCTATCTTATTCATAGTGGTATCCACCATGCTTAGCAAAGGGCCTTACAGTATGTATTGTTTTGAAGGAATAAATAATTGTCTTACATGCAAGTGGGCCACGTAAATGTTCACTCTCTTGATTTATTTGTGGAATGTTGCTATTTTTGTCCTAGAACTGGAGGGAATGCTTGGTGCCATGTGGAAGGTGATCATTTTGCTGGTCCTGTCAATGCTCAACCTCAGTGATGGACTGTTTCGTTCCTTATACCAAAATGTCCATGTTTCCACACCAAAAGAGGGAAATCTAGGAAAGCCATTATTCCTTACCCCTTATATTGAAGCTGGGGACATTGTGAAAGGTAAGTTTAATGAAATCAGATGCTACCTTTATAAATTTCAGCAGTTGTTTTCTTCTGTTTTTAAAGCAATTATCCCACATGATGTGTGCAGCAAAATACATTTTGATAATTGTGTTCAATTGTTTTATTTCCACTATTAAAGATTTAATACCCGTAAATTATCTGGGTTTTGAGCTAAAATGAAGGTCAGTCAGAGCTGAATTATTTACATGATTGAATCAGGGGAGTTCTCTTTATAAACCAAAAAATTAAACCAGTTGCCATGGAGCCAATTCTGAATCGTGGCAGCCCTGTATGTCAGAGGAGAACTGTGCTCCATAGGGTTTTTTTTTTTGTTTTTTTTTTTAGGATTTGGGTGAAGATTTACAGAGTGAATTCACTTTCCATACAACAGTTCACATATACTTTGTCTCATGTCATTGACCAAAATTTACAATGCAGCAGCTCCCCTCCCACTTCCTCCCCA